CCCCTCCTACAGCGCGGCCATTGCCAGTATCACTCCACCCCCTGTTATATATATATTGCAAATATTTTTTACATTTAATCAAAATGTAAATCTGTCCTGGCCACTTCAAATGAAGAGCCATCTGTTGTGGCGACAGAGAACTTTAATCCCTGTTTTCAGCAGTGCTGCTATTGCCAGTATCACTCCACCCCCTGTTAACAATAGGTGTTAATTAGGTGTCAACAATAGCCATGTGATGAGAGCATCAGTCACATGGAGGCAGGGCTTAAAAGCCTGAATTTTGCCTGAAACTCTCAGACTGAAGAAGTCTCTTGGAGGAGAGACGAAACGTTTCCTTAGAGAAGAACCCGTCCAGAAGACCTAYACAATTTATTTTCTTTTTGATTTTTTATCTGGATTACTGAGATGCATCAGGACGTTTTCAGTACAGTTCAGCAGCCAGCCTCTCTGAGGGTATGKGGGTTCATTAGTGCCTATTGCATAGACYGCTTTATTTAAACCTTTGTTTAACYATGTAGATCCTGTTAAGAATCAAAAATATATTCTTCAAGAGAGACCTAGTCAGCTGCTCTCTTCATCAGGGGTTGCAACAAGTGGCACCAAGATTTACCAATAGTTTTTACTTTGAATTCCCTGYCTGATTCTGACTGCCAAGTTTTCACAACACACAAACATTACCAATCATAAACCTCTCATCAAAGCACAATTAAAAATGAATTATAATAAATAGAATAAATAAAAGAAGAAACATTACAGAGAATAAAAGAAGCTAACAACTATCAATATCAGTGAAATATTTACTAACAGATGCCTTACAAATCCATTAAGTATGGCCTTAAAGTCTTTCTGCAGCTGATTCCAGTCTGAGTGAGCAGCAGACTGGAATGTTTTACACTCTAACATTTTACAAATCTAATGTAAAGTTTGTCTAACACTGAAGATATCTATTCTGAAAACAAAATAAAAAATATACTGATGTTTCTTTTGGATGAATATCTTTACAAGTCAGCATGAGCTGTCTAAAATGTGACAGGACGTTTAGGTACGGTTAGTAAAACTAGATCAGCCACATTCAGTTCCACAATCAGAGACGGTAGAAGAGTTCTGCAGCAGCCAATTATTGAAATGTGTTGAAATGATGACATTTGTAAGCTCTCTGCTGGAGATTCAAACTGKTTTGTCAGATTTGGACAAAAATCTGTGACAAACCAGGACTGGAGCTTGGTTTTACAGATCACCACCTTTCTTTGGTTTAACACTTCTAAAAATATCGTGACTGAAGGAAAACTTAGACTTGGAAAGTCATGATTCAGACCGTACAATGATTATCAACTGTTGTTAAGTCCAAAAACGAACCATATACATTTTTATTGGATACACTTCTGTAAAGGCCTCATCGACACAGAAAGTTTTGTACAGGTTTTATCTAAAGAGAACCCMCCCCCCCCGACGCGCAATAAACAAATAAATAAAATAAAATAAAAATTCTCTTCATTCCTGCAGGCACAGAGAAACCACCATCACTGCAATAAAGTTACATTTTATGTGACAAAGTTTATTYGCAATATTTTTGTTTTTAAACAAAAAAATCTAAGTGTTAAAAAAGAGTTTGAACACTGATTTCCAAACACTGATACTCAGGAGGTGGGTGAACGAGTACAAGTTAGATGAATCTTCAGAGAAAACATATCGTTGGCCATATAAAGCTGAAACGTTTCAAAATATTCTGACACACAGTCTTTTTGTTTTGTTTATTATCTAAATCAGTGTTTTTCAGTCGTGGTCCTCGGACTTTTATGATTATTCTTTGGCATTCCCTGGTTTCAATAAACCTGAGTCAAAGACATCAACTTTAAATCATTTCAACTTTACTTCCTCATCAGGTTCAGCAGTGATTCCTGATGACCAGAACAGGAAATTAAACATTATTTTTTTTTATTTGGGTGAGTTTTTATCTGCTGATGATAGTTTTTTAGGGGGGCGCCCATGAAGAGTGTGTAGTGTTACTTCATATGAAAATGAAAGGAAAAATATTTTCATTCCGTTTATTTTAGTGAAAATGAACAGGCCAACGCTTAATTTGCTACTTCTTATTCTAACTCTTTTGCCTAAACATGCAACATATTTTCTCAGTAATTAAAATTAAAGTTGACACAGAGTGGAAAATCTAACACCTTTAATTACAAAGTGCAACCGGTCACATCTGGATGTAAACTGATTGGTCCTTATTTTTGTAAAAAGATTAAAACTAAATTGAGCAGTTGAGGCATTCAAAACACAACGTTTTTTTTCCAACTTTATCTTTCAGGTGTTTTTACAATTTATTCTTTTTAGAGCCCACTGACAGATATTCATACTGTTTTGGTCAGTCCTTCTATTTAACTGCAACAGAAACTTTTCTCGCACCAGAACGTAAATTCAACAAACCAAGAACACGTCTCTGCAGGACACCAAACAACAACAGACTGATCACAACCTGATTTTTTTTTATTGCAGGTCTGGTTCGTTTGATTGACTGAACTCAAAATGTAAAAACATACATTTCTAACATACTTTAAAGCCAATGAGTTTTAATCATCAGCTTTTATATAAGCAGTACTAGAAAATCAACAAACTCAAATCARGTGCAAAAAGATTAAAAAAAACATTCAGGGTGGGAAATTTCTGATGCAGTAGACTTGTTCATTCTGAACAACAAACAAAACACAAAAAGCACGATTAATGTGAACGTTCAAACCTCACTGGGAGAAAAAGTATTTGTGTAAAAATTTAAGTAAATAAACCATTAGCTGGTCTGAAGAAAAAAAAGCTTCAGTGTTTAGTTTCCCGTTTGGCCAATGGGCTCCTACAGGAGGATTAGTACCGACMATCACAAGCAGGTAAAGCTGAATTTGTTCATATTATTTGTACGATTTTCTAATCCTATAATCTAAAGAGATATTATGCCTAAAAACAACCAGATTAAAAACAAGTAAACACCAGCAATGTGTTCCTTTCAAGACAAGTTCTCATTCAGACAGAAGATGGCGAATCAGAAAGATTTCACTATCTGCACAGCAAGGTTTAAAAAAAATATGTCAACTTATTTACAGAAAGTTTTCAAACATGATCGATCCACATCTAAACCGCTTTAAGCAGCCGGCAGATTAAGTTGGCAGAACCGTCAAACTCCACAAAGGATGTCAGGAGGGTCGTCATGCGAGTTTCTTTTGAAGCATCAGGAGAGAAAAACAGTGCCGCCGTTCAAATGAAGTTTGTTTTTTAAAAAACAAAACCTATACTGAGCTCTGCATGGTCCAAAGTAATCATCTACATTTGTTTTGTCGAAGACTTCCACAGTTTTAACTTTGAATGAGACAGAATGAAACAGCAGATTAACAACCTTTCAGTGTGTGTGTGTGTGTGTGTGTGTGTGTGATCTTTGGATAGAGTCCTGTCACTCTGCTGACATGCAGCGTTATCTTGGTCGATGGTTGGCCAGCAGGAAGTCTTTGTCTTTGCAGGTGAGGCAGAGTTTGAGGTTTCGGAGCGAGCCACCGGCGGTGTAAAACGCCCAAACGCCCATCAGGAACAAGACGACGTAGGTGGGAACCAGGCTGGCTACGTACTCTGGGTTCTGAAAAGTCTGTGAGGAAGAGGAAAAAAAACAGAAATCAACATTCCTGCTTTCCTTCTATAGTTTGGATTCATTCCAAAATCCACTGGTGAAACCACACTGGATAAAACACATACAACCATTTTTTTCCTCTCTTTATTTTATTTGCCAAATGCTGAATAATGCCTAAATCAGACTAAAGCTTTCCAGTTTTAGGCCAGTTAAGTTTCCCAAAATTATTTTCATTTGTTAAACATTGACTAATAAGATAAATTTCATAAATTTTCTTTATGTTCACAAGTTGTCTTAGTTTTTGGTTGCACTTTTTAAACATTTTGAGTTTCTTCTACAAGCTTCTCACAACAGTTTGTTGAATTTTGTCTCATTCCTCCTGAAACTGTTGGGTCCAAGTCAGACTGGCAGGCTGCACTGCTCACAAATCTTTCAGATGTTGTTTCAATATTTCAACATATTGTTCTTGTTTTTATGATGCCATCTAACTCTGAAGTGTACCAGTCAGTCCGGCAGACAAACACCTCCACAGCATGATGCTGCCACTCCTGAACTTTTCAGTTTGGAGGCTAGTTTCAAGCTTCTAAGTGTCCTGTTTYCTTCCAAATGTAATGATAAACTTTAAATTTCATTAGAACATTGGATGATTCCTTGTCCTTTGACTCTGTGAGCATTTGCGAAATATAATCTGACTTTTTAATGTTGCTTTCAGAGCACCATGTCCTATCCGGCAGTATGAAACTCACAATTAATATCTGAGTGTCAAGATTAGGCTCAACAGTTTTACTTTCACAAGCACAGCATTATGGCTTTCACTATGATGCTCCACTTGATATATATTTAAACTTTATTAGAAATTCTTTTGTGGTTGTTTTTTTATATAACAGATGCAGAGACAGAAAAGAATACAGACAACTCTTTCACTGTGGGTGATAACTGTCCAGCTTCAGCAGCATCTTCATGGAGTCTTTTGCTTTTGTTTTGGGGTTTATACATAGAAATAGATTTCACTCTAAATCTTGTGAACACAGTTACCTCCTTTTCTGATCAGTATGACGACAGCGCATTCCCATTGTGTTTATTCATGAATATCATTATTTCAACAGACGATGGTGGCACATTCTGGCATGTGGAAATTGTAGCAGTCAACAATTCTCTTCCTAATACTGTATCTAGGCTGATCATTTTTCATGATGTCACAACAGTGTGTTTGAATCTTAAAATGCATCCACTAATCGTTTATAAAATCATCCAATAACATACACTGCTTGGCAAAAAAAAAAGTCTCCACATGGATTTAACTAAGCAAACAGGTACGAGCCTCCTATTGGATAATTACTGCCTGAGTGATAATGTTTCAGCTGGAAACAAGTTATTTAACCCCAAATGGTGCATTGAGTTGCTTCTCATTTCTTAAACAACCATGTACAAAGACACATCCTGTGGTCAGTCTGTTTGAGAARGCTCAAATCATTGGCATCAAGCAGAGAAAACATCTAAAGAGGTTGCAGAAACTACTAAWTTGGGTTAAAAACTGTATAATTCATTATTAAAAACTGGAAGGATAGTGGAGACCMATTGTCTTGGAGGAGTGATGGGCGTTTCAGGGTAAGAAGGTGAAGTGATGCTCCCTTCAAGCCTCTATTGTACCAGCCTGTGGGGGGAGTGATGATGTGGGGTTGGTGCAGTTGGTCAGGTCTAGGAAGCTTATAGAAACAATGCCACAGTGAATGTGGGCCGTAATCAAAGCTAAAGGAGGTCCAACTAAACATTAAAGTGTGACCTGTTTTTTTTTTTGGCCAGGCAGTGTATTTGCAAAAGAAGTTTACAAACTGAGTCACACTTCTTATAAATCCATTTGTTGCAAATATTTGAACTAGTGATTTGCATGTTTGCTTATTTTAGACTGCCAATCAACAACAAAAAAAAAACTTTAACCTCTGAAAATAAAAGAAGAAATGTATTTTGCTTTTGGAACATATCCGCAGACAAGCTTTGGTGACAGGTGTGTTAAAATGATTAACATCACATGGCAGTTTTTATGGGTTTTCATCAGTCAGCTCTGGACAGAACACAGTTTGTGTAACCAGATTTTGCACATTGTGATCTTTGCTTCTGTTGGGTTCAGTAACATTTTCATCTCTCACTGCACTTTAAACACCTCACTCACCAGGCAGGACACAAGGAGGTGACTGACGACAACGGCAGCAACGGCCCACCAGCGCTGTTTCTCACAGGCATCAAAGAACACGACACCCCAGAACATGTGAAGCAGGATGATGGCCATCGTCATGAAGGCTAAAAGACGAAATGAGAGAAAAGGGAAGGAACAAAAACAGTTGCAGTCAACCTATAAAACTAAGCTTCTTTTATCTGGATCAGACATCACATCAGCTGTACAAGTGTTACTTTTTGTTCAAAATATAACTTACTTAAATTTAGAGTAAAAACACAATGTAATTAATTAGTCCAATTAAAAACCCTGAGTAGTTACAATAGTTCTTTTGTATTTTCATTCTATTTTTTTCCTGTAGTAAACGACTGTACCAATTTTCCTACACTTTGCCTGTAAATAAATAAAACCTCTGTTGGAGCATTGCCTGCCGTGCAGTCAGATTATTTAGTAACCAATTCTAACACAACTTAATTAAAAGTATGAATCTTCTTATTTTAAGACTGATATAGTGTACATGAATGCTCAATAAAATGCCATTTTTTTTGCTGAATTTTAAGATTTCAGAATTTGTAACATGCCCCAAAAGTAGAATATCAAGTGGTTTGTCCAAAAAAAAAAAGTTGCGTAGGTCTTCTGGA